AAAGCAGCCAAACGGGTCATGCGGTATTTACAGAGAACAAAAGACTACATGCTCACATACAGGAGATCGGATCAGTTGGAGATCATCGATTATTCTGTTTCCGATTTCGCGGGATGCCAAGATAGTAGGAGATCCACTTCAGGCTATATTTACCTGCTTGCTGGAGGTGCTATTTCATGGAAGAGTGCTAAGCAGACACTCATAGCTACTTCCACTATGGCAGCGGAGTTTATAGCGTGCTATGAGGCATCAAATCATGGAATATGGCTGCGCAATTTTGTCACTGGGCTGCGCATTGTGGACAATATAGAAAGACCACTTAAGATATTTTGTGACAATAAATCAGCAGTGCTGTATTCTAATAACAACAGGAGCTCGACAAAGTCAAAACACATAGAGATCAAGTTCCTTGCTGTTAAAGAAAGAGTTCAGAGTGGACAGGTGTCAATAGAGCATATTGGGACAAACTCCATGGTTGCGGATCCGCTTACTAAGGGATTGATACCCAAGGTCTTTCATGAGCACACTGCTCATATGGGTGTAATGTCTCTTGAGGATATCTAGTTTCAGTGGGAGTTTGTATTTTTGCTTTTCATATTGGACACATGTACTGTTATTTTGGATACAGTTTAAAGTTAAAGTTATTTTCAGTTATAAAGTTATTTGGTTAATTATCTCTGAACTTGTTTAAAATGATCTCACTAAGGTATTAAGGTGGACCAGTTGGAAATAGGCATGTTACAGATCACATTACATGTAATTTCCATGCTACACATCCATGCTTGATCCATGTCATTATATTATATTGATATACGTGACCATTGATAGGTTTAGCTACGTGAAAGTAGCGAAAGCCGCTTTGATCCTATGTTGATATGATTGATAGACGGGATTGTTTGGGGATATATTCGGTAATGATAGCAAAATTCTGAGTACCCATAAGGTTATGTTTAATGCACAATTATAAGGTGACACATATAGCCCAAGTGGGAGATTGTAAGGATTTTTAATTAAAGATGGGCTTGTATGTGTAAATAATTGTGTGTTAAATTATAGGCTATCGAATTCGGTTGAGCCCGATTAAAGTGATCTAATAAGGTTTCGGTTTTGGGCTTTAATGTATCCAATTAAAGTATGGATTTACATATGTGTAGAGACCGGGCCCAAGTCCTAATTCTATGATGAGCCGAATTAGGTCAAAGGGCATCCTCATATAAATAGGTTATGGTCCCCAGATCACACGCAACGAAACGAATTATTCATTCTCTACTGCATCCCATCACAGAGAGGAAAGGAGACTGCGTGTAGATTTGGAAGATCATACCGCGAAATCCATATTGCATTAACCATGTCAGATTCAGGTATGCTTCCGCTTTAATTATTATATTTCTCGATGATTTAACATGAAAGATCCGGTAATTTAAAGTATTAAATTATCCAACAAATTCAACTTGTCCCTTGGGTTGGATGACTAAACCATTCACAGTAAGATGCCCATTTCCACCAGGAGAAAATGATCGGCCCTATCTGGTGGCCTAAGCTTCATCCTTGAATCCACAAGAACTTCAGATTGTGATGGCTATTTCTATCGAGCATAGTTGGATCCATAAATATTTTATTACCGGGGGACCTTGATGCCATCTGATGTCTTCCTTTCGCAGCAAAATTCTTCAAAAACAGAAGTTATACGAATGTTTATAATCAAATCTCTCTTTCTTTATCATGTCCAGCTTATAAGAAGTTCGATGTGCAGGTCGTTTTCGTACCTCAGGAGTCATTACCGATACGGGTACAGGTGACCAAAGCTTGAGCATTTTATTTCCTTCCTTTGACAATACAATTTCGTGTGCATCGAATTCAGGTGCAGGAACAGGAACACTGGAACTTGAAATCTCGCTCTTTAGAATAAAATGTAATTTGTCTTCGAAAATTCAAAATTTGACAAATTTTATTGTATATCTATCATTCTTTATCATGTCCAGCCATATAAGAGTTCAAGGTGCCAAAAATTAAAACTTGATTATCAATTGACAAATTTTATTGCCACTCTCGGTTTCTAGATTATATCTAGCTTTAGAGCATTTGATGCGTCAAAAATCAAAACTTAATCAAACAAGTAACAAATTTTATTAAGTGTATCGTTCTTAATCATGTCTAATCCTATCAAGTTCAACATGTCAAAAGTATCGTGGAACTTCTCTGCCACTTAAAACAAAAATCAACGTAATAAATAGAGTTTCTATTTAAAGAAACAAATTATTCTCACACATTTACCATTCTGTGGATATTCGAAAACAATAATAAGGAAAAAAAAACCCAATAATTTTCCATTTTATCAATGGTTGATTCAAGGAAAATGGACCAACCAATTTTAGTTACCGGCGATCTTGCCTCTCCGACTGGTAAATCAAAGCCCTCAGCTGTGGCTTGAATTTCTCTTTCCAGATATCACGACCAAGTCCACGTCTTTTCACCTCCACCATCACCAGTTCTTCAGTTAACTGGTTAATCTCCACCATCACCACGAAATTCCCCAGCAGTCTAATCCCCTTTTCCTTCTTCATCACCCTCATGCCTCCTTCTTTAGCCACCTCCTCAATTTTCTCAATTATTTTCCTTGGAGACTCCGCTGATATGAACATTTCACTAGTGATATGAATACCATTGTTACTGAAAAGACCGGACAGATCAAAACCTGAGGAATACGATATTATATCGAAGGCATTCAAGAATGAACTGTCCTGCATGTCACCACCAGATTTCTTGAAGCCAAACCCTTCATCAACCGGGTATTTGGTTTTCTTGTAGCCGTTTCTGAACCATGGATCCTGGCGGATTTCGTTAACTGTAATCCTAGTAGTTGGGTTCGGATCCAGCATCCGGACCAGTAACCGGTTTAAATCAGCTGAGTTCCATTTGGGACACCGGAATTGCCCTTTGTAGATTTTCATGTACATCACCACCAAATTCGGGTCCCTGAAAGGTAAATAACCCGTACTTAGCACATACAGTACAACCCCGCATGACCATATATCAACTTTGGCCCCATCGTATCCCCTTTTTGCGAGAATCTCCGGCGCCATGTAGGCGGGAGTTCCGCAAGAGGTGTGTAGTTGGCCATCGGGTCGGATCTGATTCGTCAATGCACTGAGCCCAAAATCCGTAACCTTGAGTTCCAAATTCTCGTCCAACAACAGGTTTTCCAGTTTCAAATCGCGGTGGAAAACGCCGCGAGAGTGGCAATGATCTACTGCAGATATCAATTGCTGGAAGTATTTACGGCTGACGTCCTCGCTGAATCCACCTTTCACGATTTTTTTGAATAATGCGCCCTCCTTGGCATACTCCATCACGTAGTATATCCGTGTCTTGGTCGCCAAAACCTCGTGGAGGTGTACGATATGGGGGTGGTGCAGCCAGCGCATAATAGAGATCTCCCTTATGACGTTCTCCTTGAGGTTTTCCTTGAGTATCCACTCCTTGTCCACTACTTTGATAGCCACGCTCTGGCCCGTGCGCACATCCCGTGCATGGTAGACCTTCGCGAAGGCCCCATATCCCAGGAGCTGCCCTAGCTCGTACTTGTTGAAAAGCACGACACTGGCCTCCTCCCCACCTCCGCTGTCACTAGCGGCGGCTGCTGGTGGCAGTACATTAAGTTTTTCTTGGACAATATCTGGCATAACTTGATCCAAATACCGCTTTAATATGTTCATTAACAGAGTAAATCCAAAATTTGATTGATAACGATATAATTAACTATGAATCAAGCTGGGTTTTAAAGGATTGCTTCAAAACCAACCTATTATTTAATGTTTGTTTTTTATATTAAACTACGCGCTAAACATGTTTACTTATTTATTAAGTTTTAATTTTTATTACGTTATTAAATGTTATGACACGTTGTAACTACGGACTAACCCCGGTTTATACGCGATAATATTCTCATTGTATTTTCTTTCTTGTCATTCCAATCGACTTATTTTTGTTAAACTGCATTTGAATGTATTTTAATTTAATTTTTTATTTCAATTTTGGAGACTTGAGAATAATCTCGAACCTTTTAAAATGACCAAGTTAATACTCAATCTTTAATAACAAAATTAAACAATCGGTGATTATGGAGCAACGAGGTTTAGTGCATCAATTATGATATAGGTTGATAGAGGAAGTCACCGTCGACGACAAACAAGATGGATCACTGCACTTCGATGCAAAGCCATCGACCTTTAAGGGGTACTCTACCACTATCCCCAAGTGGTGCTCGACCACCATGCACGGCCATCAACCCCTAGGGGCGTTCTACCACAACCCTTAGGGGGCGCTCTACCACTACGCGAGGCCGTCGACCCCCCAGCGGTGCTCTATCGCTACCCCTAGGGGGTGCTCTGCCACTACGCGAGGCCGTCGACCCCCCCAGGGGCGCTCTACCATAACCCCCAGAGGGTGCTCTACCACTACGCGAGGTCGTCGACCCCCTCCCAAGGGCGCTCTACCACTACCCCTAGAGGTTGCTCTACCTCTACGCGAAATCTTCAACAGGCATGAAATTGCCTATCCAAACACTTAGCCATAAAACCTCTAGTGAATTGACTATGTTCCATGACGGTTAATACGGGAACAACCTCCAGGCGGGAAGTTAAAGACCCCCTCACTCAGAACGTGGGGTAGTGAGAATGCCAACGTGGGACACGTGGCACCACAACCGCCGAGCGGTTATCTAGTTCCCAATATCTATAAATACCCCCAGATGTGACACAGGTAAAGGGCTCTCTCTCTCTCTCTCTCTCTCTCTCTCTCTCTCTCTCTCTCTTTTTAGTCATCTGAATTCTAATTGCATTTTTACCAAGTCTAAAAATTAATTCTCACGTCGGAGGTAAAACGGGGGAGGAAGCCCCGCCTTCGTTTTTCAGGTCACACACACTTGACGTAGTAGTCGGAATGCCGAACGCCACCTGGCAGATAGAAGGGTATTTTTCCACAACCATTTCATTGGCGCCGTCTGTGGGAATTTCTTCCACTAAACACAAAGGTCATGTCGAGAAGACGAACACGAAGTGACACACGCCTAAGAGCAGCAATGATGGAGGCAGAATCAGAATCGGTCGCCAAAGGCCCTGATCCGCCTCCATCGCCGCAGTATTTGACGCAAAGCCAGTTCAGCGCCCTAGAGACCCAGTTAGCAGCCATGATGACCTTCTTGCAGAATCAAACGCAGAGAGCCGCCCTCTCATTGCATTCGGCAGAGGCCCCGCCTCCACCCCAGGAGGCGCACATAGAAACACCGCCTGCCATCCAACAGGTGACCGCAGGCTCGGGGGCTCCAGGGATGACGGTCTTGCAGTCCGTCCCACCCCTGGTAGATCTGGAGCGGAGAATGGAAGAGATCATGACAAAGAAAATTGATGACGCGATTTCTAAAAGAAGGGACAAGCGCAGGCAGATGGTCCTAGAAGAGGACCCATTCGTGCCCGAGATCATGGCGGTCCCTTTACCTAAAGGCTTTAAGCAGCCTATGATAGAGGCTTACTACAGGGTCACAGATCCACTTGACCATCTGCGGACCTTCGTTGATTTGATGAGACTCTATGCAGCACCCTATGCGGTAATGTGCTGGTCTTTTTCCCCAACTCTCAGGAGGGAAGCCAGAGACTGGGTGGCAACACTTGTCCACTGGTCTATCCGAACATTTGATGAACTTTCCAGGAGCTTTGTAGCCTACTTCCTGAGTAGCAAGAGAACGAGGAGGACAGCCATTGGACTGATGCAGGTGGTCCAAGAGAAAGATGAGTCTCTGCAGGAATATCTGGCCATATTTAGTCGTGCGACCCTTGGAATAGAGGACCTTCAAATGTCGACGGTGGTGACTGCGTTGATGAATGGAACTTGGAACCGGGCTTTCAAGATGTTACTTTCTAAGAATCCCCCAGAATCAATGCACGACCTATTGAAAAAGGGAGACAAGTATGTTGATGCTGAGGAGGCGGAGAAAGTCACAAAGAACCTCAAAGAGGGATGGGAAGTAGAAAGTCACAAGCGCAAGGCGGGGGACGAGCTAAGCCTGCCAACAAAACTAGGCCAAGGAATGAGCAGATGGTGAAAGAGGCCGCCTAAGACCGGCCAGCCAGGCACAAACGAGAGGAGTCCAGGGCGTTCACCCCTTTGAACACCCCCCGTGCCAAACTATTGATGGAAATACGAGACATAAAAGAGCTAGAATAGCCGAGATCCATGGTAACACCAGCGGGCAAAAGAAACCAGGGCAGATATTATCATTTCCACAAGGATCACGGGCATGATACTGAAGAGTGCCTGCAACTGAAGGAGGAGATCGAGCACCTCCTAAGGTGGGGTCTCCTAGGCAAGTATGTGAAGGATAACTGAGGGAAGGAAAAGATGGAGGATCGTCCCCCACCTAGAGCCGGAGTGATAAACATGATTACAGGAGGGTTAGTAGGAGGGGGAGATTCAAACTCGACAAGGAAAAGCTACGCGCGCTCTCTCAAGATCTGTTCCATCCAAAAGAAGGCAAGGTTCAACTAAAGCATCACTTTTGGCGAGGAAGACTTGGTAGGTGTGGCGCACCCCCATGATGATGCCCTAGTAATAGTAGGCGACATAACTGATTTTGACGTCAAAAGAGTATTGGTCGAAGGGGGAAGTGCCGCAAATGTACTCACCTGGGACGCTTTTTTCGGCCTAAAGGTCCCACCTGATAAGATAAAAATCGTGAACACCCCCTTGCAAGGCTATGGAGGAGCCACTATGATTTCAGAAGGTACTGTGGAGCTCCCGGTCACGCTGGGCACATATCCGACCACTGTGGTACTTGTGGCAAGCTTTTTGGTCGTTAAGACCCCCATGGCCTATAATGCAATCTACGGTCGGCCGTTACTCAACGCAGCTGGGGCCATCCCCTCGACCTATCACCAAGTCTTGAAATTCCTAACCAACAGGGAAGTCGGGCGTGTGCAGGGAGATCAGCAAGCATCCAGGAAATGTTATGTCGACAGTATATCAGTTAGAAGAGCCCCATCAGTCATGATGTTAGAAGTTGAACCTCCGAGAGGGCGGATTGAGCCACTTAACATGATCGAAAAGATTTCCATAATGGAGGGCCAGGAGGTCAGCATCGGGGCTGAGTTGGACTCTGACGAAAAAGAGAAGCTGGTGAGGTGCCTGACAGACAACCTAGACGTCTTTGCATGGAGCCCAAGTGATATCACCGAGGTCAGTCCAGCACTCGCTCAGCATCGCCTCGGAGTCCTATCCGGAGCCAAACCAGTAAAGCAGAAGAAAAGGAACCTCACCCCCGAAAGGCAAGAAATAGCAAGGACGGAAGTGGAAAAGCTACTGCAAGCAGGTTTCATCCGAGAGGTATGGTATCCCAAATGGTTAGCCAACATTGTGCTGGTAAAAAAGTCAAATGGGAAGTGGCGCATGTGCATAGATTATACCGGATTAAATAAGGCATGCCCTAAGGACTCATACCTGCTCCCACGAATAGACCACCTCGTCGACGCCACATCGGGTCACGAGAGGCTCAGCTTCCTAGACGCTTTCTCGGGATATCATCAAATCTCTATGGCAGAGTGCGACCAGGAGAAGAAGTCGTTCATTACATATTTTGGAATCTACTGTTACACTTCCATGCCTTTCGGCCTGAAGAATGCAGGGGCAACTTACCAGAGGATGGTGAATAGGGTCTTCTAGGAGTTGATTGGAAATGTCATAGAAGCCTACGTCGACGATATGGTGATAAAAAGTATTAAGGCCGTTGACCAAGTGGCCTGTCTGCAGAGTGTTCGACATAGCCTACGCGACTAGGCGGAGAGCCTTAACAAGCCAAAAATTGGCTAAGGCCCTTAGCTGCTAAACCTCTCTCCTGACGATCGACATAGCCTACGCGGCTAGGCGGAGAGTCTTAACAAGCCAAAAATTGGCTAAGACCCTTAACCGCTAGACCCCTCTCTAGATGGTCGACATAGCCTACGCGACTAGGCGGAGAGCCTTAACAAGCCAAAAATTGGCTAAGGCCCTTAATCGCTAGACTCCTCTCCAGACGGTCGACATAGCCTACGCGACTAGGCGGAGAGCCTTAACAAGCCAAAAATTGGCTAAGGCCCTTAACCGCTAGACCCCTCTCCCGACAATCAACATAGCCGACGCGGCTAGGCGGAGAGCCTTAACAAGCCAAAAATTGGCTAAGGCCCTTAACCGCTGGACCCCTCTCCCGACGGTCGACATAGCCAACGCGGCTAGGCACGGGATAACACAAGGCTAAAATTGGCTAGGGCCATCGACCACTAAACTCTGACAGCCACTCCCCCGCCCCGTCACACAGTGAACAGAAAATGAAGAAGGACGACACGAGAGACGGCAAGTTAAGGAGCAATGCACTCAACACTAATAATAGCGAACGGAAAATGTGTTTATACATATGAGAAATTCTTGCCCACACCCTGGACAAGTAGGAGATAATGAGACCAAACAAAAGTAAACACAAAAAAAGAAAAGCTAGCAAAGAAAACAACAACTAAGAAATGCTTCAGCTCGAAGGGGAGACATCCCCACTACCACCTCGTGATGAACGTCCAAGTGACCTGGATGACTGTGCTCCACTCTCCGTCCCTTTGCGCTGCACAAGAAACCTATCTAGACCAGAGGGTCTATAGAAGGATGCTCGGCCATAATCCACTCCTTGGAAAGTTTGATAGACGCTGCCATCACCTTTCCCTCATAGGAATTCAAGGCCTTAGCATAATCAGACGACGTCTTATACTGCTCCACAGATACCTCGAGATCTCTGGCATACTCAGCTGAGGCCTTATACTTCTCGATCGCCTCCTCCGAAGCATGAGCCAAAATAGAACGCAAGTTGTCGTTCTCCGTCTCCTACTCGTGCGCTCGAGCATCCGACATCTAAGAGATTTCCTCAATGAGGATATTTTTTTCTTGTAGTGATGAGTTTCCTTTTTCTTTTCTTCAGTAAGAGTCTTCAAATCCAAGACTAGGCGGTGATTCGATTCAGTGAGTCCCGAAAGTCAAGCGTTAAAACCAAGCTTAAAAGGAAAGTCCCAACATAAAAGAAAATGTGAATTGGAAACGCACCTTCTGGAGATAAACAGTCGCAACCCTTTCAATGTCGTCTGCACTACGCCATGCAATTGCTCTAGAACGAGCGAGCGTCACCAAAGACTTGAGCACCCCCATCTCATGATAGCCTCGGGTGGAAGAAAACCCAAAGTTAGGAAGTGAATCCTCGCGCTCACACCGTGCACGGCTAGAAGCACCCGGCCTAGGAGCTGGAGCCACCTCACGAGGCTCGTCTGAAGGCTGGGAGTTCTCATTGATCGCCCGAGGCTTCCCTCCTTGGTAGGCCACCCTCTTCTCTTTGAAGGGATAGGTGATGGATCCTCCTCATCCCCTTACCCGTGGTCGGGCATGGAATCCATGATCCCTTCAAGATCAAGCTTTGCCCCTGCACATGTAAGTTAGAATCCGTTAAGATCACAAGGTAGAAGAGTAAGAGGATAATATAAAAAAAAAATTAAGAAATTTTCTCAAACCAACCAGATAAAGAAAATTACTACCCCTCGCCGAAAATATCGACAAGGGATAGGGGGTTAATGATATAGGTTGATAGAGGAAGCCACCGTCGACGACAAATAAGATGGATCACTATACTTCGATGTAAGGCCATCGATCCTTAAGGGGTGCTCTACCACTATCCCCAAGTGGTGC